GGTGTGAACCACCCTGATTATGCAGTGCAATGGATCAAATCTAGGGCCTCCTTGCATGCTATGTAAGCACACTACAAACTGAGCTATGTCCCCAGCCCTTAGGCAATACAATTTTTATATGAAGGTACCTAGAGTCAAGCATTCTGGCACATGCATACAATCCCAGCATTTGGGAGGCTGTTGGGGCAGGAGGATGACTATGAGTTCTGGGACAGTCTGAACCATAGTGTGAGACATTGTCTCAGAAGAACAAAATGGGAGCCAGGCATGGTGGTGCACATGTTTAATCTCAGCACTCAGGAGGCAGAGGCAGGAGGATCTCGGGGATTTGCCTGCCTCTGCCTCCCAAGTGCTGGGATAAACGTCATGTACTACCAATGCTTGGCTTGAGATCCTGTCTCAAAAACAAACAAATCAAACCAAAATGGAGCCAGGTGATGGTAGCACACAGCTTAAACTCCAGCACTTGGGAGGCAGAGGCAAACAGATCTCTGTGAGTTCAAGGCCAGCCTGGTCTGCACAGTGAGTTCCAGGATAGGCTCCAAAGCTACAACAGAGAAAACCAAAACCAAAACAGAACAAAACAACTACATCAAAAACAAAATGGAGAGAAGGAAGTGAGAGAGAACCTAGCATTAGAAGATGATAGCTCAAACATTGCCTTATTAAAAGCTGACCTAATTGGGCTGAGGTATTTTTTTGAAGTTAAATTCATGGGTATCAGTATTAACATTTTTTTTAATATCTAGGGAATTCCTGCGTAAAATCCTTTTTCTTGAGCTTTTTGTCTTTCTGATCTTTGCCATTAATCTATGGATCTCCACCATGATAAATACACATAGTTTATAGCATGACTTAAGAGTGCAGATGTGAGCTGGGCGTTGGTGGCGCACGCCTTTAATCCCAGCACTCGGGAGGCAGAGGCAGGTGGATCTCTGTGAGTTCGAGGCCAGGCTGGACCGACAGCCTCCAAAACAGAGAAACCCTGTCTCGTAAAACCAAAAAAAAAAAAAAAAAGAGTGCAGATGTGTTCAGTGAAGAACAATAAGTTAGCCAGGCAGCTTTTAATCCCAGCATTTAGGAGGCAGAGGCAGGAGGATCTCTGTGAGTTCGAGACCAGCCTGGTATACAGATCGAGTTCCAGGACAGCTAGGGCTATACAGAGAAACCCTGTCTCAAAAAAAAAAAAAAAGAGAGAGAGAATAAGTTTCTGCCACAAGTTTGGGATAGTCTAACATCCTTTTAATACCATATGCTGGCATCGTGCATTTCCAATCAGGAAGGAGGGGTGGGAGTGTGGCTTGGTGGTTAGCTCTGACCTGGCATGCACAAGCCCAAATGCTCCCCCGACCAAATGAAAAAGGTATGGAGGAACATCTCTCTTCCTGTGTCTTCATTACACTGCAAACCTTGGGTACACTCTGAGATTTCTTATACCTAAAAGGCTTTTTTTCCCTTTACAAAATTGTACTAATACTCTTGGGCCAGTTAAGAATTTCAAGGCACTAAAAAGAATGAACTGCTTCTAGAGAGTACCATTAAGCAAATATTAGACAATGTTCATGTGTAAATCTCATCTTGGCTGCTATCAACTCTTACTTGATTTAAAAATAATCTTTACTTATTTATATATGTCAAAACTCCTCTTTCCTGGATTACATTGTAACTGAAAAATAAGCTGTGCTGTTGACTCCTCTGTGTGTCTAGGATTTGCTTAGTTATTCTCTTAGAAAGTCGTGTATCAGCCGGGCGGTGGTGGCACACGCCTTTAATCCCAGCACTCGGGAGGCAGACGCAGGCGGATCTCTATGAGTTGGAGGCCGGGCTGGACCAACAGCCTCCAAAACAATACAAAGAAACCCTGTCTCGTAAAACAAACAAAAAAAAAAAAGAAAGAAAGAAAAGAAAGTCGTGTGTCTGGGTGGTGGTGGCATACACCTTTGATCCCAGCACTAGGGAGGCAGAGGCAAATGGATCTCAGTGAGTTCGAGGTCAGTATGATCTACAGAGAGAGTTCCAGGACAATCTCCAAAACAATTCAGAGAAACCCTGTCTCAAAAAAAAAAACACAAAACAAACAAAAAAAAACTTACTATCTCACTGTATCATTACAAATAAATAAAGCCAGGTGTGGTGACTCACGCCTTTAATCTCAGCACTCGGGGAAGCTGAGGCAGACAGATCTCTATGAGTTCCAGGCCATCCATGGCTGGCTCAATCAGAATAATGATAGTAATAAGGAAAAAAGAAAGTTTCCCATGATGGACGTGGGCTTCAAAAATGCATGACCACTGAGCCAGCTCCACAGAATATACTTGAAGAGATTTTTAGGAATGAAGAGAAAAGTAAACCATCCACCGAGCCACAGGGAAAAGTAAATTACTCTTGAATAAACTAAGCACTTGGAAGGCAAGAGTCAGGCAGATCTCTAAATTCAAGGCCAGCCTGGTCTACAGAGTGAGTTCCAGACAGCCAGGAGTACAGACAGAGAAATAAAAACAAACGTTAAGCAAGAGAGGAGTAGCAAAGTACCAGATACTTCAGAATCAACAAAAAATGGTAGGAAATAATTCACACTTCTCAATAATAACTCTAAATACTTATACTCTTGATATCTGTTCAAAAACAAAGACTAGCAGAATGGATTAGGGGAGAAGAACTGTCCATTTGATGTCCCGATGAAACACCGTGAGAAACAGATGCTGCCTTAGAGTGGAAGGATGGAAAAATGTCTCCAAGCAGGTGGAGCTAGGACTCAAGGAGCCCTCACTGTTCTAGATCTGACAAAGTAAACAGCAGAGAAAAAAGCTCTTCATACCAACTGATGAGCCGCACAACAGTACACTATAATTCTAAACATAAACACACCAAACATGAGTGCACCTAGTTCCACAAACAAACACTATTACTTTAGCACAGTAACAGTGGGTGAGTTGAACACCCCACTTTCATCAATCAAAAACAGAGAAACCTCTGAATCAAACAGCTTCATCGGTCAAATGGATTTAATATATCTCTACAGAGAATTCCATTCAAACACTGAAGAATATGCTATTTTCTCAGCAGGTCACAAAACTTCCTCTAAAGTAGATCATATATCCGACTGTAAAGCAATACTCAAAAATAAAAGGAAACTGGGATAATTCCTGTATTCTGTCTGTTCACAATGAAATCAATTTCAAATCCACAGCAAGAGAAACTCCTGAATACTCATGGAGATTAAATTACAGAATGCTAAACCATGCAGTGGTAGCACGAGCCTTTAATCCCAGCACTCCGGAGGCAGTGGCAAGCAGATCTCTTCAAGGCCAGCCTACACATCAAGTTCCAGGACAGCCAAGGCTACACAGAGAAACTGAATGATGAATAGGTCATTGAAGAAATAAAATATTCCTGAAATCAAAATGAAAACAACACACCCAAACCTGTGGGTCATGGTGAAAGCAACCCTAAGAGGGAAGTTTACAACTCTGAGTACCATATTATCCAACCAAAGATCCTATCTTAGTTACTTTTCTGTGGCAATAATAAAGTAATTTGATAAAAACAACTTAAAGGGGAAAGGGTTTATTTTGATGTGCCATTTCAGAGAGATAGAATCCATTATGGAGAGGAAGATACGTTAACGGTCAAGGAAGGCATCATGAACAATAGATGGAAACAAGGGTATTTAGTAAGAACTTGAGTTTTAGCAAACATGGACACAAAGAGTATGTTTGACCAATAGTTAAGGAAAGAATCAGAAAACTAAATAATAAAGTTGAAACTGGAAGTGGTGATACACGCCTGTGATCCCAATATTTTGGGGGTACAGGTAGGAGGATTGCCATAAATTCAAGGTTAGCCTAGGTGACTGTATTTGTCATGGTTCTCTAGAGTAACAGAATTTACAGGATTACATGAATGCAAATATATATTATACATATGAGATCTATTAGGATGATTTATACACTGTGGGCCAGCTAATTCAACAATGGCTACCTATGAACAGAACATCCAAGAATACAGTAGGTTATTTGTTCCCTGGTGTTCAATGTCTCAGCTGGTCTTCAGAAAATGCATAGAACTCAAAGTGAACTCTTTTGCAGTGACAATCAACTTTTCTAATGCTTTTAACACACTATTATGGCTCCTCATGTTGTGGTGACCTCAATCCATAAAATTGTTTTCACTGTTACTTCATAACTATAATTTTGCTACTCTGATGAGTTGGAATGTAAATATCTGATATATACCATGCACTTAGATAAACCCTGTGAAAGGGTCTTTCCACCCCCACAGGGGTCACTACCTATATGCTGAGAATCACTACTCTAACACTAGTAAAGGGATGTACTTGCTAGGGAGGGCAATAGTAAGGAGGCTATCAAAAGGTCTTGGTTAAAGGTGGGGTTCCCTCCCAAAAACAGCCATCAGAATTCAGCCCTTGTCAATTTGACAATCATGTCACCATATGTCATGCTTAATTTGCAAACAAAACACAATCAGGTTATACTTACACCTAAAGTGACCTTAGTATCCAATATAGAGTACCAAATGCATTACATATTTAACCATGTCATAGTTATGCCTGAAATGATATAACTAATCCTTTTACAACTGCAAAAGCATTACAAAATTAGAATAGGTGACAAGGTCTCTTGACAGACATTCCTTTAGTGTCTGAAACTTTAATATTCTCTTAATTGATGTTACATCATTCTACCACACAGCTACATCTCCAGCTCCAAACAGTTTCCCTTGCACTCTGGAGAATTACAGGTTCTGAAACACAGACCATGAGGTCTACAACTAGAGGGCTGGAAGATAATAACAGTATTGAGCTGCTGTCCGTGAAGTAGAAGTTCTCCTTGTAGTGCAGGAGACTGCATGCCAGGAGTCTGGTGCAAATGGGTAGAGGGCCAGTTCCAGGTCACCCAGGAATGAACCTCAACCAGGGCCACACCCCCTGCTCCTCCATCCTTATGGCCCACACTGAAGTGACAAGGGTGAGGCAGGAGTTACTTTATAGACCTTTATTTCATTTCACATTTTTCTTCTTATTCGGTAGGGGAAAAGGCATATACCCACAACACTACAAGATTCCAATGTTCTTAGAGAAAACACAAGACTCTCCACTTGTCTTCATTGAGGACCTTGGTTCTCATCAGAAGCTGAACACAGCTGGTGAGGGTTTGCATCTCCGGGGAAAAAGGCAGGAAATAGGTGTGGAACTGTCAATGGATACGAGGGGTTCCAAGGATCCCATCTGGGAACCAGTGACTCCTCCCTGAGTATCATGGGTGATGAGTTCACTTCAGGCTCTCCAGAAGGTACAGAGATGCCATAATCCCAAGGCTGGTACATGGGAGATGGCAGTGCCATTGGTGATTGAAGGTCCCTTGAAATGAGGTGTATACCAACCCAATCACAGAGACGTTCTGCATGGAAAAGACACAGAGAGATCAAGCATGGCACCCACACTCTCAAAATCACATCAAGTAATTGCCTATCCTGTGTGTCCTAGTCAACTATAAAAACGTCCAAATTCCATTCCCTTGAGGTGACACAGGAAGACGGACAAACATAGAGGACAGAATTTCCCACCAGAATAGGGCTTCCCTACAATGTGTGATGTGTTATATGCTCAAAAAGGACAGGCCACCTGATGCCACAATCTAGAGAACTTCAGAGGACCAAACAGAATGGACTAACCTGGGAGGCGGCTTCCCTGGAGTCTGTGGCCCAGGACCCTGTACTGGGCCTCCACAAGAGAAGAAAATACCATTTCTATTAGGGGTCTCTCACTACACAGGATCCTGTGCAGATTCTGCAGACTCACAAGTAGGTTGAAACAGCTCTGCCAGTTCTTCTTCAGACCCCTTTGGTAGAGTCGCTGGCAAAGAGCCCTTGTCTTCTTGTGGATCTTCCTGCCTGGGTGGCCCATTTCCTGTTCCACAACTTCCCACTCCATCAGGAAGATCCTAATTTCAGAGTCAGACCATTGGCTGAAGGACGGACCTACAAGGACAGAGGGATGGGGTCAGTACTTGTGACAGCATGCACCTGCACCACTGAACTCCTCCTGGGCATTCTTCCTGCACACTGACCACAACTGGCCTCACTCACTCAACAACTTATTGTCAGCACTCGTTGTTGGTCCAGGATTCGGCATCCACCCTACCGTAGTGTCAAGCAGTGCCCTCCCTGGGAAAGTGTAGGTGTCTTCAGTTTTACAAATTAAACTTCAGAATAGAAGGGGAACTCAAAGGCCTAGTGCTGACTGTGAACTCTGTCCATATACACACTGGTAACCCCCACGCCACCACCAGGGACCCTCTCTCATTCCTGGAGACTTGGGATAGCAGGGGAGAAGGTCAGGTGTCTGGCACCACCGGGTGCCCCTCTACCCCCATCACATCTGTCCCCATCTTGGCTCCTGCATAAACCCATAAGTTGCAAAACACAGACATATAATAGATGTTGGTTCTAGCACAGACTCCACAGTTACCTGAGACCCTTTGGCCTTCCTGATGCCCACTCCAGCCCATCTTGGTTTCTCCTCTGGTGTTTCTCAAACTTTTGGGTTGGTTTCTTTTATCTGTTCACAAATGAATAAATAAAATGTTAAACATTTTCATGCAATAGAAATCTCTGTCTCTTTGCTGTACCTGGATTACGGAACCAGCCCTTTGCAGCTTCAGCCAAACAATGGACTCATCTTTCCTCGTCTACAGGAGCTGGTACATTCTCACCCAATGGAAAGCTTTATCATCAAGTTGGACCGGAAAAAGCCTCTAGTTTATACTGCAGGTGCAGCCCCGTGGAAGGGATAGATAAACAGAGGACCTGTCTTTTGGCAAGACCTCACCCACTCACATTCTCCCCAAACTCCTCTCCATTACCCTACCACTAAAATCATTTAAAGTCTCCTAATAAATGACAGCTCCTGACATACAGAGGCATCAAAGGAAGGATGCCAACCCACACTTTCCCATCTCCCCTCACATGACATGGGTGGCTGTAATCCTGGCTCTTTCCGAAGAGGTTCAGGGAGATTCAACAGTTCAGGGTTATCCTTGACTAAACAGTAGGTTGTGGGCAAGCCTTGGGATAAAGAAGAATCTGCCTCCTAGCAGTGGTGCTGCACGCCTTTAATCCCAGCACTCGGAAAGCAGGCTCTGGTTGATCTCTGTGAGTTCAAGGCCAACCTGGTCTACAGAGCAAGTTCCAGGACAGCCAAAGCTGTGACACAGAAAAACCCTGCCTCAAACCCCATCACCACAAAAAAAGGGGAGACTGGAGAGACAGATTAGCAGTTAAGCACATTGGCAACTATTTCAGAGGTCCTGATTTCAATTCCCAGCAACTACATAGTGCTTTACAGCCATTATAATGGGATCTGATATCCTCTTCCAGCATGCAGTAATACATGCAGATAGATCACAATATACATACAATAAATAAATCTTTAAAAAACACTGCTGAAACAAACTAAAAACAAGTAAACCCAAGGACACGAAGTTGGTGCCTATTGTGTCTCTGCAGTTGGCAGAGATGACTTCACAGGGAGGACGGTGAACTTCTTTCCTTGTCTGTACAATGATCACATACCAACACCTCACATGAGGCTCCCTGTGAGTTCCGGTTCATTTCACATCCATGTGGAGTGGAGAAACATGACAGAGGACAGCTTTAAGGCTAGAGAGCTTCTGAGATGAATTCAAAGACAAACATCCCAGCTATCCTCCAGAAAACACAAGACTAGATTGCCACCAACTTACATACATTTTCCTTTCTGAGCTCCGTTGTAGTCCACAGAATCAGGGAACCAGAGTTCTGTAGGTGCTGGTAGGCACAACAGAGTCTGCAGTGTGGAGGGAGAGTTCTGTCCACCCCCAGGGCTTCAGGAAATCTGAGGACCCTCTGCAGATCTGACCCTTTATAAAGCTCTTGGTAGAGACTGAATCTGGCCCCGCCTACTGAGATTACAGGGTGTGTCAGCAGAGGGTAACAGGAGCTTTTAATCCCATCTCAGGAGGCTGAGATAGGAGGGATGCCCAAATTTCTAGTTTTCTTAGGCTACACCTCCTAGAAAACCAGACAGTCTTAATTAAAAGGTATCAAAGAAACACAGAAAACATAGGCAAATAATTTCAATTTCTTCTTTGAAACAGCTTTTTGTTTTTGCATAGTCCTGGCCATCCTGGACCGACTAAAATGTAGACCAAAGTGTCCAGGGTATCACACTGACTCTGGATCCCCTTCCTAGTGCTGGGATTAAAGGTGTGGCAGGCCTGCATGGTTGGTAGATCTAAAAATCTAGTACATTTGTTAAACATCTTTACTTCACGTAAGCTCTGATTGAAACGTGAGTTGAACAGAAAGTTCTACCAGGTAGTTCAGGACCCCTTTAAGCTAGAATAATATAGTGACCTTTGCCAAAGGTCATCAAACAACAGATATTTACTTCACAATTCATAACCATAGTAAATGTATACTTATTTAATTTTTTTGTTTTGTTTTTCGACACAGGGTTTCTCTGTATTGTTTTGGAGGCTGCCTTGGAACTTGATCTGTAGACCAGGCTGGCCTAGAACTCACAGAGATCTGCCTGCCTCTTGCTCCTGAGTACTGGGATTGAAGGCGTGCATCACCAACGCCCAGCAAATGTACACTTCTAAAGTAGTAACTAAAATAATTTTAGGGTTGAGTGGTCACCTCAACATGAGGAACTATTCTAAACTGTTGTAGCATTAGGAAGGGTGAGCACCACTGGTCTGCTCGGTGTGATGGAAGGGTTCCCTGCTGTGTTCACCTTAATGAAAAAGATAATGAGGGATAACATGAGCAATTACCTTGAACAGGGACAGGCAGCATTTATTCTCAAGGGTAGGGAAAACCCTAATTCTGTTCCTTGGAGGATTTCTTGGTGTGAATTTCTTGAGACAGTATCTCTTGTATCCCGGGCTATGGTGCAACCCACTTTGTAGTCAAGCATGAGCATGAACTTCTCCCCCTCCTCCCTTGATCTCCCTGTTGCTGGGAATATCCACACACACATGTCATGTCATAGTATAAAATTCATGTATACAATCAAAGCTAGGAAAATATTTTAACATGGATTTTAAGCCCCAGAACAAGAAAAAGTCAACTGGGAAGCAAGGGTATGAACAATTGGTGCATCTTTTTCTTTTCTTCCTTTGGAGACATGGTTGCCTGGTTCTGGGGCTGGCCTACAAACCCTTCAATAGCATAGGATGTCCTTGAAATCATGATATGCCTATGTTCAATGGTCTGGGATCTCTACCCATCTACAGGCCAAGAAGCTATGTAAACTCCCAAGTGAAGAAGTTAAGATGTGAGCCCCATATCAGGAGCACCTTCCTAAGTAGCCATTGTCCCAAGAAAGCCTTGTCTTTTCTGATGCAGAATTCCAGTGTTTCCTAGCAAGTCTTAATACTCTTTCGTTAACTGAATATAGTCATGTGTTTTAGATTACTGAGAGTTCTCCAGAATAAGAGAACTTGTAGAATTAATACCTCTTTCTTTCTCTCTGTCTCCTTTTCTCTCTCCCTCCTCTGTCCACTAACTTGACTTCACCTACAATTAGATAAAACCTGACTGATCCAAGTCAAGTTAATAACCAAGAATGGCCAGCACAGTTCCATGCCTTTTCAATTGGACACATATTCATATCACCTTATGTCATTCTTAATTCCCAAATGAAATCATAACCAGGGCATAATTACCCCTAGAGTGCAACTATGTGATGTAACTGTGATATGTATAGATAAGGTAGTGACTGATAACCCTATGCAATTCTCAAGGCAATGGGAATGCTTATTTACTCAGTTATGTCCCACATAGTGTGACTATTGCTTGTACAAATGCAGACAACTTATAAATTTAGAACAGTTAGGTTTTCACATAATAGACTTTCATTTACATCTGAAACTTGCATACAAGCAAATTTGATGTTCTCAAATTGATGCCACACCACACTCAGGGCAGAGGACAGAGGGCAGAGGGCAGAGGTGAGCTCCAGGTCCCCATCTCTTGCATCTCCTGGCCTGGGAACTGCAGCCAGGTTGACTTGCCCCAGGACAGATGACCAAGCGACCAGGAGCCTGCAGAGAGAGCCAGACTACACCTGCCTGCACTCAGGACAGAGGACAGAGACCAGAGGCCAGAGAGTATTGGATTTGCTTGTACCCACTGAAAGGGAACCCTGGTCACTTACACACCAAGAGAGGAGGAGGCTCTTTCTACACCCACTGGAAGAAGAGATGGGAAAGAGGCAATATAAGAACACACTCAGCAACTGAAAAACAAATATGACAACACCAGAATCTAGAGATTCTACACCAGCAAGACCTGAACACCCCAATGCAGATGAAGCAGAAGAGAATGACCTTAAAAACACTTTCATGGGCACATGGAGGATCCGGATCCCAGCCCTATGGGATTCAGCCCTCCCAGAGACTGCCGGCTTCCAAGTCCCATTCTACACCCACAAGACAGGTGAGGCTAGTCCAGCCTACTCAGAGTTTGGCAAGGTTCCGAAACTAGGACGGCCTCTGTTCATGAAAGAGGAAAGCTACCAGGGTATTGGACCTGCTCCCACCCACTGGAAAGGAACCGTGATCACATACCCACCAAGGGAGGAAGAGACTCCTTCTGCACCCACAGGAAGAAATGATGGGAAGGAGACAATATAAAAACACACCCACCAACAGAAAAACCAATATGACACCACCAGAAACTAGAGAACCACGGAAACTCTGAAACCAGAAGGTCCTGGATGGATATTCTACCAATACTAACAGACCACCAATGCCAACCCAGACTATATTCCCAGCAAAGCTTTCAATCACTATAGATGGAGAAAACAAGATATTCCATGACAGAACCAGATTTAAACAATATGTATCCACTATCCCAGCCCTACAGAAAGTTCTGGAAGGAAAACCCCAACCCAAGGGAGTTAACTACAACCAGAAAAACATAGGCAATAGATAATCCCACCTTACCAACAGCCAAAAGAAAAGAGATGGAAATCCACATACAATTCTACCACTATCAACTATTCCAAAATGAACAAGAATGAGCAATCAATGGTCATTAATATCCCTCAATATTAATGATCTTAACTTGCCCATAAAGAGATACAGGCTAACAAAATGGATTTGAAGACAAAACCCATCCTTCTGCTGCATACAAGAAACACACCTTGGCTTCAAAGACAGACATTACCTCAGAGTTAAGGATTAGGAAAATATTTTCCAATCAAATGGACCCAAGAAACAAGCGGGGGTAACAATCCTAATATCTAACAAATTATATTTTAAAATAAAATCAATCAAAAGAGATGAAGGAGGGCACTTCATACTCATCAAAGGAGAAATCCACAAAGATGAAGTTTCAATTCCCAACATCTATGCCCCAAATACAAAGGCATCCACGTTCATAAAAGAAACATTACTAGAGACCCCAACCTCTGGGGTCCACAGCTTCAGGTGAACTTGGGTCCCCCTGGGGCCACTCCTCTATCCCCCGTCCATCACCTATCCCCTCAATCTTCTGGGGGCCCAC